CCAAAGACTGACTCAGCTAGGCTTGCATGGTATTACAGGCTGTCATCTCAGCCTAACTGGAGACTATCTAGACTTGGCCCATCAGTTCTTTTCCAGGGACTGTCAGTTCAGGATTCAGGAGTCCATCCATGAAAACACCAGCCCAGGGTTGGACATTCATTCAGTCCAACCGTTTGCCATTCCCTGGCACCAGGTAGACTCATGTTGGTTCCTCCTTAACCTTTTACAGACCGCATCTTCTCTTCTTTATCTGTATGAAGTCATACTTTGTGTGCTACTACAAGGTCATATTCATCTTACACCAAGAAATGCCTGCTTCTGTATCAATGCTCAATGCATGCCAGAGACCTTTCAGGCAACTTAGTTATTGCAGTTATTCTACAAACATACATGGGTACGAATGCTGAACGCCTACAAGCCCACGCCCTTTGAGTTGACTTTTCCTCTGGCTTTTGTATCTGCTTGTGACCATCAGCAACCTTGATGTCAGCACAATGACAGTCCTGCCCTCCCAGGGAAAGGCTGGGAGGCCCCAGCAGGACCCTAGCCTCCCCCTCGGTAGAGGTCCTGATTCCAGCTGGCCCAGAGGGCCTCTAGACATTCTGAGCCACATCTTGACATCCCACCATTGGAGGACCAAGTGGGACTAGTACAAGCGTAGTAGCAGAGGTGCCCAGAGAGCTTCCTTCCTGGGCAGACTTGGCTAGCAGGAATCGAAGGACCTTGTCCTGCACGGGGCCCTGTTGGCTTCTTTCCCCTAAACCATAAACGACCTTGTGCAATGGAGCAGCTCACCAGGCAATGAGGCGAGACGGTGGGAGGCCTTGCTTTTAAGCTGGTCAAGGCTCCAAGAGCAAGTTCCAAAGGGGCATGGGCACTTGGATGTGGGGAGAACTGAGGGTAGTGGAGGAAATGTTCAATTGGGGGACCTGATAGGGGACAGAGGGAAGCCTGAGAGGGTAGAGCTCCCCAAAGGGGCATGGGGACAGCTTCCTCAGAAAAGCAGGCCATCTTCCCCTAGCTCTCTCTGGCACACTTGACCTCGCACGACGGATCAGGAGAGCCGGGCGAGACCGCAGAAGTAAGACCCAGACCCCGACCGGGCAAGGGGGCATTTCATCAGTGGGGGAAAGGTAGCATCTACAATAAAAGACAGAGCCATGCGTGATGTCATGTTGGATGCCGCTGCATCGATTTCCATGCCTAAGCACATCCAAATCCTGGGTGGGCGCCCCGGAACGATGGAGCCCCAGGAACAACTCCGAAAGGAGCAAAGGGGGGTGAACGAGACTGTCTTGGAGACCAACCTCGAGGCATCGATCCAGTAGTTCGACTGTTTGCTGGGTGCTCAGATTATTCTAAACCCCCACCTACCATGGTTACTGGTTTCCTCTACAAATACGAATTACAGGTGGGTTATCATTCTGACGAGACGTGACAGGTCACACAGACTGGAGATGCCAGGAACAGAGAATGTTGCAGAAGAACTCTATAAGCTATTGCTTGGTTTTACACCCCCAAAAGTCTCCTCCTTATCCATCATTTAGGAACCTTGGTGGTGTCGTGGTTATGCATTGGGCCGCTAACGACAAGCTCATCAGCTCAAAAGCACCGGCCACTCCGCACAAGAGTCTGATCTTGCTGCTCCCGATCTCTCTGCTCCCGTCAAGGGTCAGTCTTGGAAGCCCACAGGGGCAGCTGTACCCTGTTGTATAGTATGGTCGCTGTGAGTCGGTGGCAGTGAGGTGGCTTTGAGGTTTCTGTGTTTAAATCATATGTAATGGTTGAGAAGACTAGAGGGGGTCAGTATGGCTCTCAGCGGGGCTCGAGAAGCGATGAACATTTCTTGATATGCTGGGCCCATGGAGCCCAACGCCGGCTGATAGCAGATCAATAGAATTGAACTGGACCAAGGTTGGCTCGAACCAAAATGGCTGCGGTCCTGCTCGCAGCTCACAACGTCCAAGGGCAGAATGGCCTCACAGGATTTCTAGGTTGACTTCATATGGGCAGGTCTCTGGCCGGGTCTTTCTTCCTCGGAGCTTTGATGCTGGGTGGGTGGGGTTTGGAACCACCAGGTTTTCAGTAAAGGCCAAGTAGTTGACATTGTGCCAGCGGGCCTCCTTTTTTATCAGATGCAAAAGGTTCAAGCCCACACCCTGCAATATTGCAAACATGAAAACACCACCACATTCAAGTGCTGGAGAGAATCATGGGAAGTGGGTTGAGAGCCACGAGGGAGGAGCCAAAGAGCGCTGTGGATTCTGAAGGAGTTGGGATATCTCTAGGGATTCAGGATGAGTACATCTCCAGAGAGGAGGAGGGACGAAGTATATCTCCAGGGAGGCAGGTTGAACATACCTCTAAGGAGATGGGATGAGCACATTCCAGGAAGGTGGGATGAATACATCTTCAGGGATGAGAGACAACTGTGTCTCCAAGGATGAAGGTTGAGCACATCTCCAGGGAGGAGGGATGAGTACGTCTCCAGGGAGGAGGGTTGAGTACATCTCCAGGGAGGAGGGATGAGTATGTCGCCAGGGAGAAGAGATGAGTATGTCTCCAAGGAGGAGGGTTGAGTATGTCTCCCGGGAGGAGGGATGAGTACGTCTCCAGGGAGGAGGGATGAGTACGTCTCCAGAGAGGTAGGATGAGTCCATCTCCAGGGAAGAGGGACAATAAGCATCAAGGTAGAAGGATGTCTATCTCCAGTGGGGAGGTGAGCGTGTCTCCAGGGAAAGGGGTGGAATGAGCACCACATCCCAGGGAGGCGCAAATGAAGAAGTGTCAGCTGCTCACAGAAAAGAACAGCCAAGGACAAGGATTTTACTCTTTACCAAGGGAAGAGCCCAAAAACAGATTGGTGCTTCTAAAGGGACCCAGTGACATGGGTTCGGCATCTGGCTGCTAACCACAATGCCAGAGCTTCAAACTCACCAACAGAAACCCCAGGAAGCAGTTCTACTCTCTGCTATATATAGACTGCAGTGTTTCCCAAAGTGGGTGCTACAACCCCTGGGGGTGCTAAGATGACCCAGGGTAAACAGAGACCGACACATTATCCTGGATTCTGGGCTATCGTACCTGTGTCTTTCATTGCCAGGGAGGCTCTGACTATAGTGCTTCTTTCCTGGAAAATGTGCCAGGAGGCCAAAATCAGTTTGGAAAGTTCTTCAATAGTGACTGTGACTTGCCCAGCTGGCTGGGTTTGGTTCGAGGTTTCTGAGGGCATGAGAACATTGGCATACTTAGCCATTGGCTGACACCCTTACCCAGGTAGAAGGGACATTTGGTAAATCCTTCCATTTCCCAAATGTGAGAAACTGCGGCCTGGACAGGGGACTGGACCCCAGTTCTGACATGGCATGAGGGGGAGTCAGCCTCACAGAGGCAAAGATCAGGCAAAGGCAGAAATCCCTGCCATGAAGGCATGTGCCTGGGGTGGGGTGGGACGGGGGGAGCTGATGGTAGCTGCTGGCCCTCCAGAGTGGATCAGGCCACGGTCTCTCCACATCTACAGATCCCTGGGGAGACACAGCCAACAACACAGTGGGTAGGCTGGCAGAGTGCACACTAGCCTGGCAGGTCTCACCCAAGTTCCAGTGGGCTGGGGGGCCGGATTGCTTGGCTGCCACCAGTAGAGCCTCCTCACCGACAGGGAGCTTGAGGCCACCCTGGAGGTTGGGGTTGCCAGCACCGATGTCCCAATGCCCCTGGAGGCCGAGGTCCCCATCGTTGGAGGATGCAGTGCCTAGGAGGGGCAAGCCTGTGCAGGCCACGTGTCACATTTCCAGTTGTGCTGGGAGAAGCGTTTCTACTGCTGCCTGGAAGGTGGGCCACAGCCTGGCATGGCGGGGACAGGCTATGGCTGTACAGGCTGCTTCCTGGTGACCCAGGGTGGGGTGGGCAGGGACAGAGAAGCAGTCTGCTGCTAGAAGGGGGTCAAAGGTTTCCCTGCTGAGATCCTCCCACCCCCACCCCCAGGGGCCCACCTCCCTGGCCCAGTGCCAGCAAGGGAACCCAACCACTTGTCCTTTGATGGGGGATGAAAGGGACTGGAAGGCCATATGAAGAGTTTCTATGTTGGGAGCTGGACCAGTACGGTCTCAGTTCACGAGTGGCTGGAGGTGCTGTGTAATCAGGGCCTGGCTAGTGGTGGGAGTTCACACAAAGGCCCCCCAGGGAGGCCCCAGTCTCTCTGCATAAACACAAATCGCTCTTTTTTCTCCTCTAAGTCCCAGCCCAACCCTAGGGCTGTCACTGTAAGTGCCTGTGACTAAACTCATGCCTGGATGGAGGTGAACAGTGAGGGGGAGCTAGGGTTCACGGGGTATGCTTGGGGAGAAGAGTGTCCCCCTCCCACAGACTCAGGCATCCTCATGGTTACCGGGGCTGGTGGGCGGTGCTGCCCCTAGACACTAAGCCCTTTGGGGCCAGCACCTGCCCACCACCCCTGTGAACTTCCAGCACCCTTTCACACAAACATGGAGGGCATTAAGGGAAATGTCAAGCTTTGTGTCCCAGGCAGGAGGCAGTGCGCTGGGCTGTGTGAGGGAGAGAGAGAAAACCAGGAAGTCTGCATTTACAACCTCCCTCATCCCGACGGTCACCGCCATTGTCCCCATACACAAAACGGTAACCTAGCAGGTTCCACCCAGAAGGTCCATACTCTTCCAGGGAGAAGTCTCAACTTGCACACAGCACCTCTCAAGAGAGCCCGGTCTTGGGACCAGGTAGCTCCAGATCTGAGCTGGGTTTCTGGATCTGTGGACCCAGGGCCCCATCTCCCTCCCACCCTCAACCACACCCTGGCAGGGGAGAAGGGCTGCAGCTTCAACTAGGCTCCTCGGCAGAAGGTTCAGGGTCAGCAGCCTGGCCCTGCTACCCCATTGCTTCCTTCCGGTGCGGGATGGGCACACGCGCGCGCGGGAGGGTTGTCAGGGTCTAGGCCCTGCCCCATCTCTCACTCAGCCAATCCAAATGCAGTCGAGGCAGGCAGCTTGGTCTCCGAACCGTTTATTGCTGGGGCAGGGAGGGGGCTCAGGCGAAGGTGGAGCCGTTCCAGCCCACGTTGGCGGCGTTCATGTCATAGTAGTTGATGTAGATCCTGTGGGGTGGAAGGCAGGTTCAGCGCTGTGCTTCGGGGGCCCGGACCACGCCGCTGCCCCGACCGCCCCACATGCATACCTCTCCGGGCTGATGCGCAGGCGCTCGGCCAGCAGGCCGCACAGCAGCTTGCTGTAGGTGCGGTTCTGCGCCCCGCCGATCTTGCCGATGCTGTGCAGGCTGCAGAGGGCACACGGCTCGCCAGAGCCGCCGAACACCATGAGCTGGTCGGGGACCACGTGCACGGCGATGTACTGTGCGGACGGGCAGGCGGGGTCAGAGGCGCTGGCCGTCGGTCTCCGTGCACTCCTCACCCACGGAACCCCACCCCCACCAGGCACCCAATCTCACGAGGCACCCCCTACCCGCTCCAGGCAGCACCCCGCGGGCACCTCCCGCCCTGCATGCCGCCCCCCCGCCCGCGGACCTGGGCCGGCTTGCCGGTGGCCTGCGCCAGTTGCTGGGTAAGCTCGGAGAGCAGCCCGTCGGGCACAGAGGCGCGGGGCACGTTGGTGTTCACCACGAACATGGGCATGATGGCGGAGAGACGGCGCGGCGGGCCAGACGGGCGGACACACGGACAGACACGCGCGGCGACCGCAAGCCCGGAGCCTGAGCTACGTGACCGCCGCTCGGCCCCGCCCCGCGAGCGCGCGGTCGCGCCTCTCGTGACGTCACCCGCGCGGAGGCTCCGCCCCCGCGTCCCAGCACGTCCCCCCGGAAACCCCGCCCCCTGTGGCGTCATGGCCCCGGAGCCCCGCCTCCGCAGACTCCCAGCGCGCCTGCGCGTCTGCGCGCGCAAGCGGAGCCTCTGCAGGCGGCTCGGGACGCGGCTTTTCCACGCTGCCTTGCTTCCGAGCTGTTCACTTACACAGCCCCGAATGCGCCCTGGGGAGTGCTTCTCCCACTCCCGGGGGCGCCCGGCGGGTGCAGGCGAGGGGGCGCCGAGGAAACGCTGCACGGACGGGCCCCCGGAGCCACCGCCCCATCAGGCGCCTGTAGGCCCGGCGGCTCCCCCCCACCCCAGGCTCCCCTCCCGGAGGGTGCACCTCCTGGGCTCACCTCCGTGGGCGCCCCCGCTCGCTTCTTCCCTGCACCGCCTGTGCAGGCTTTTCTTTCGCTGCGCTGACCTCGTGCCTCGTGTCCATCGCTTTCGGCCTCGCCCCAGCGGCTAGGTGGCTAGTGCGCTGGGTTGCGAACCTCCAGGTCGGAGGTTCGGGCGCAGCTGTCTGCCCCGTAAGGGTTTACAATCTTGGCAACCTCTATAGTGCCGCTGAGTCAGACAGAATCCGCTCCGTGGCGGTGGGTTTTGGGGTAGCCTCCAGAAACTAGAGTCTAGGGACATCGTGCTGGTAAAGTGGAAGGGCAGAGGAAAAGGAAGACCCTGGATGAGGGGCATTAGAAAGTGGCCGCAACCACAGGCACAGACGTAAGGGGACTGGGCCGTGTTTCCTTCTGCTGTGCCCTGGGTCACCGAGTCAGAACCGACAGTTACCAGCAGCGAGCGTGATTTTCCCTGCTCCTTGCCACTCCCTGGATACCTTACACACAGGTCAGGGTAGAACTGCCCCTGGGGGGTTCTGAGACTCACTCTTCATAGGACTAGAGGAGCTGCTGGGAGGGCTTCGAGCTGCTGACCCTGTGTCTTCGTACAAAACGACAGAAGCATGTTTAGGGTCACTTCAGAAATCTCTGTAAATCCTGTCTTCATCACAAGCCAAAATTCACTTAATGATGCTTTTTTTTTTTTTGAGGAAACTCAAGTTTTTCAGCGGGCAAATTCTTTTTAATGACTGATGACTCTTCCCACCCTCGCCATCCACCCATTGAGTATATTTTATGAAGCCAAACAAATTTTTTTAGAATTAAAATGTGAAGGAAAGTCTTTCTGGAACTCTCAGATTCGCCGGATGACCAACTACAACTCAACTATAAAATCTTTGGGGAAGTTGTTTACAATAATAAAATAATCTTTAGGTGTAGATATTTTTAAAGAATCATTTTCTACCCTTTTCCACATTTTAACCTTTTTAAACAGTTTTACTAGTACGTAATCCACGTATCATACAACTCAATAGTTCAATCATATCAAGAAGAGTTGTACAATCATTACCACGAACACTTTTGGAACTTTTTTTCCCATGGTTACATCACTTTTGAAATGAGTTGTGAAATCACCATCAGTTCTAGTGCTGCCTTCCCCCTCCCCCATACTTTCCTTGCTCCCCCCACCTCTCCCTCCCCTATTGTGGCACTTACATAATCTCCTGTCTACTTGAGTGAAGGAGTGGAGTCTAACCTGTCAATCAGGTCATAGCCAATGAGGTCTCTGTGGGCATGGTCTTCTGAGGATTCTGGGAACTCCTGCCTTCCTTCCTGGAGGCTGGATACACACTCTCTCTGCAAGACATTCCCGCTGACAAACCACGTGCAGCTATGCTAATGACAGCCAGAGCACTGTAGCTGGAGGAGCCACGTGGAGACGCACGCCAGCACTTTGATGCTTACACCGCCACTGGATCCACAAGACTTTGTACTCACTGGCCTATGATCTTCCTACCTTCAGCGTCATTGCATGTGTTGCGTGAGTCTGAAGAGGAATTTATAGACTGTTAACGGGCATATGGACTAATATTGGATTCATGGACTTGATCTGGACTGGGCTGGGATGTTTTCTCAATATACAGTTACTCTTTGATATAAAGCTCTCTCTTATATATATATGAGTGTCTCGATTTGTTTCCCTAGTCTACCCGGACTAACACCCCTGTAAAGCCTTGCATCCGTTTTATCTCTATGCATCTCCTCCTCCTGTGCTTCACAACCTGGAGAACCCAACAGCACCGACAAGAAACTGAAAGAAAATAAAGTGGTAAGTGTAAAATAATACAAAGATTTAAAATACACACGAGTAAGGAAGAAAAGACCACCATCAGTCTTTAAAAGCCAGGGAAGAAATTTTTATCATGGAACAAGCAAGAAATACTTGCACCTAGAAAAATTTCAGGTTGGGTTTAAGAGGGAGGTCAACTGACCATGTATCAAGTTTGATCCAGTGTGATCATGATTTACAATGATCTCCATCTGCTCCAGGCCCTGGCCTGTGGCTAGAGGAAATCTGCCAAAGGCTTGATCTGACTAAATACTCTGCAGATTGGTTTGGGGCTCCCACTGTCCTCCATAGCTTCCACAAATTGGGTGTCTGCCATTGAGGCTCTGATATTTTTCCCTCCGTCATCTTAAGATTCTGTTATTGTCATCTTGGATCACACAAACTGGTGCGCATCTTCCATGTGGACTGAGTTGACTCCTCGCCTAGATGGCTACTTGTTTGAATACAAGCCTTTAAGACCCCACACAATATTCCAATTGATAGCCGGGGACCATCTGCTTTCTTCACATTTTACTGGAGCACCAGGAAGGTAAGTATCAAGCAGTGATCATTTCATGAAGGTGGGTATCAATCAGGGCCCTGTTAGAAGTAATTTTTCTTGGGTTGGAACTAGAGTTCAGTGGGGTGCTGAATCCATCTACTTGTCCTGGGGATACGCACAACTCAGGGTTACTTTGGTGGTCGTATTGTGTCAAAATCAAAACCCCGTAAGCCCAAGTACCCCAACAACAGCAACAAATCAACTAGCAGACAACAGAAAACAAAAACAAGCAAACTAAAGGCAGAAAACCAAAAACTCACAGAAACAGAAGAGTAAGACCTTGTCAATCATCCCCACGGGGTCTAAGGGGGTTGCACTGGTGTACTAAGTGTATGGTGATTCTGGATCCCTTTCCCTTGGACACCCAGCAAGCTGCAGGTTCCCCAAGGTTCCATGACCACCACTTCCACAGTTCCGGGGCGGCCACACTCTGCTTCCTCTCCCATCCAAGTACACCAGTGCAAGGTGCAGGCACCTTTGGGGCAGGGCTCATTTCATCCTGCTGGGCCTCTATGTTAAGGCCTTCTGGTGTGGCCCATGGGTTATACCAGGCCCCCCGCCCGGTCAACATCCAAGGTCACCATGGTGCTTAGGTGATATAGTTCACATGGGTAGAAATGTATTCGTAGTGTCTAGCCAGGCACATCAAACCTGGTCCACTGCCCGCCTAAGTTCTCTACAATCATTGTTTAGCATCCCTTCTTGATGTGAGGTTACTTCTCCCCAGTCACCCACTATACTCATCCACAGAATGTTCCCTGTCTCCTCCGAAATAGGGAGGCTCCTCTCCCCTTGCCTTGATTTTCCAGCAGCTTCTTCTTCCATACCTGCAGGGAGCCCCTGGAATTGTCCCAGCCTTGTCTCGGTGTTGGGGCTATCCTCGAGTGAATGGCATGCTCCCACTTCCCACTTCTTGAAGGAGTGACCGCAGACGGTGTGAGGTCTCCAACCAAGTTGGTTCTTGTGAGGTGCTAAAAGGGAGACTGTCCTAGGTACAGAACATATTGTCAACGTGCAAAAGGGTGGAGTCTAGCCTGTCAATCAGGTCGCACCTTGATGACCTCATTTGGAGGTACCATGCAGATAAATAGCTGACTGGAGGCCGGATACACAGAGACTCTCTGCTTCGTCTTCCTGGTGATAAGACTCATGGCGCTACTCTGGAGCTCTGGAGCTGGAGGAGCCACGTGGAGACCCCTGTGTGCTGAGATGCTTACACTGCCACTGGATCCACAAGACTTACCACCCACTGGCCTGTGATCCTCCTGCATTCGGCGTCATTGCATGTGTTGTGTGAGTCTGATAAGATATTATAGGTTGGCGTCGGGTATATGGACTAATATTGAACGTAGGGACTTGATCTGGACCGGGCCGGGATGTTTTAATACAGCCTAATGGTTTCCAGGTCCTTCCATGTCATGTGATGTCTCGTGCTTCATCACTGTTTTTCAGGGATGCATAGCATTCCGTTCTGTGTCTGTACCATAGTGTCTTTATCCGTTCTTCCACTGTTGGGCACTTGGGCTGCTTCCAGTTTCTTCATATTGTGAACTGTGCGGCTATGAACATGGGCGAGCCTACAACCACTCGTGTCTCCCTTCCTTTGGGTAAATACCAAACACTGGTGTAGCTGGATCATATGGGATTTCAATTTCCAGTTGCTTTAAGTATCACCGTATTGCTTTTCATAGTGGCTGTATGCATTTTTACAAACCCACCAACAGTGTCTATGGGTTCCCATCTCCACATTCTCTCCAGCATTTGTTTTTTGCTGTCTGTGTGTGTGCGCGGAGGGGGGGGGAGGTGCTAGCACTGTAGGTGTAAAGTGGTATCTCACTGTGGTTTTAATTTGCATCTCCCTGATGGCCAGCAATCCTGAACATTTTTTTCGTGTGTTTGTTAGCCACTTGTACTTCATTTTTGGTTCTGTCCATGTCTTTTTTTCTTTTCTGAATTGGGTCACTTACTTGCTTATGGGGGTGTTGTAGAATTCTGTATATTTTGGTAAGTAGCCCTTTGTCCAATGTGTCATTGTTGAAGACTTGTTTCCCAATCTGAGGGCTCTCATTTCACTCTCCTGATGAAGTCCTTTGATGTGCATAGACGGTGTGATTTCAGCACGTCCCACTCATCTATCTTGTCTTCTACTGAGTGTGCCTCCTCCATTATCCTTGGTCGTCTATGTA